CAGGGAGGTGGTAGAGTCCTTATCCCTGGAGGTATTTAAAAGAAGGACAGATGAGGTGCTTAGGGACATGGTTTAGTGGTGGGATGGCAGTGTTAGGTTAAAGGTTGGACTCGATGATCTTAAAGGCCTTTTCCAACCAAAGCAATTCTATGATTCTAAGCTTTGTCCAACATGCCCAGTGAGAGCTGCAGAGGGCTGGATGACGAGTTATAGCTGCCCATAACTTCTGAGTGGGCTAATCTGCCGATCATAGTGCAGTCCCACAGAAGTTAATCTTGCAGATCTTGGGCTGGCAAGGCTGAGGAGTAAAAAATGCAGTTCTTGGAGAGGATGTGTTTTTTCTCGTTGTATCTTAGCGGGGAAAAAGCTGGGAAGCAGCCACTGGAATGAGTCACGCGCATGCTGGAAAGGCACTGCTGCAGCAAAACGTGTGTAATTGCAGATGTCTTGCTGTGCCACGATGACGAGCTGGAAGGTCGGAGAATTGCTTTCATCCTGTACCTCGTGCCACCCTGGGAGAAGAGCGACGGGGGAACGCTGGACCTGTATAGCGCAGATGGTAAGGGCCTGGAGTGCAGCCTTGGGTGGCTGAAAAAGATGAAGCTTACACGCTCCTTGCAGTAACTCTCTCCTCAGATAGTACAAGGAAGATAAAAGAGTTTCTCCTTTGTCCAGAAAAGCTGAGGTATAGGTAATATTTGCATCTTAGACATGGGCTGTAGCAGATGACGCTAATGGGTGACAGCAGAGGAACAGGAGAAGGTAACAAAGAGAGGAAACTTTTTTTTTTTTCTTTTTCAAGGATGGAAGTGATGCCAGTACTTGTGTTTGGAACTGTAAAGCGATGGAGATAATTTCCCTTTCCAGCAACAGGAGTCCACTGATTCCTCCCCGAGCCCTTGCTCTGAGCTCCATCCTGTGTCTCACCAGTCACAATGTCACGAAGCCAGAGAGAAATGGCAGTTTCTGGTGAGTTCCAGTTCATACCTTAACCAGAGTATGTTTTCTTCCTCCTCAGAACACTTTCGGCCACAGCAAATTGTCAAGTCGTTAGTGCCTTCATGGAACACGCTGGTTTTCTTTGAAGTCTCTCCAGTCTCTTTCCACCAGGCAAGGAGCTGTCTTTTGTTCACTTTTTGATTCTCATTGCGGTGGTTACTCATTCTGTGTGTTATTGCAGTCCTGATGGGGAGGGAGGAGGGAAAGGCAGAAGCATGGGTAGAACGGATCCTTGTGCTAAGTGCTATGTGTTGAAGGCAGGACAAGGAGGAAAAGAACCAACAAAGCCAACTCAAACTGTCAGCCTAGCTTCACCATCCAGGGTGAAGAAAAATGGCTGGTTCTATTTTGTGTTGCTCTCCTGGCAAGCCTGGCTGTGCATTTGGCTGAGAGATTTTTGTTTGTTTGCTTGTTTTAAACTAGCTCGTGTTTTTCATGTGGATTGCCGTGCCTTTGCTCCACGAGAGCTCCTCAGCACATCGCCTTACCAACAGGGCGCTGCGCAGACAGGGCTTTACCCATGCTGTAACTTGGGCGTAGTGCGGTACCCTACGGTAGAAATGCCGGTGTGGTTAAGTAGCACTTTGTGGCGCTTACCAGGAAGATGGCTGGAAACAGGATGAACAATCTGTGGAACTGCATGATGCAAACACCTGGCTGAAATCTGAAACTCCTGTGTACTTGAGAATACCCCAGACTGTAACGAACAGGGCCAAAGAGCAGAACGTTGGAGAGGGAGAAGATAGTGAAGTGTGTCAGGCGTGTCCTCACTTAGACTGCTAGTGGTTTTACTTTTCTGTTATTTATGTCTTACAATGAATTAATTATTTGCTCACTGCCCTAATTGTTTTCAGGTAGTGATTTAATCTTGTCATAAAAACCCACGTTCCACTTAACCTTGCGACTGCCTCCTACTGACCTAAACTTAATCCCCTGCCTTAGCCCTATCCAGAATCCTGGGCGCTGTCTCCGATACTGTTAACATAGGTGATAAATACAGCTTAAATAATAAACTTATTTTTTAAAATAAGCACTAAGTTCAACAGGGAGTGCTGTGAATCAAAGCCTCCCAGATCTGGACCTCGCTGGTTGTGCCTAGAGTTATTTGCTGATGCATTTATTTCACGCTTCCGTCAGTAAAGTGTAGAGCCTGTGAATTCCCGTTAGACGACTGTGCGAGGCTCGGACCAATGAAGCCTTCACAGCACACACCAGCCTTAAAGGGCTCTCAGATGTTGGGCAAAGAGCACTTACTCAGTCCTTCCTAACAGAGCTTCAGGTTTTGGACTTCATGCTGTATGCTTCTTCAGGAGATAACAAAGCAAGCTGTGGGCGTTTGCTGAGCGGAGTGGGTCCGTGAGCTTCTAACGGCAGGCAGTTTTCTGGTTTCCATTTCCCAAGTGATTTAGGATTCAGTAGCCATTCTAAATAACCTAGAACACCTCTAAGTCATGCAAGGAAAGGGCCACTACAGGTCTGTAACAATAAGAGCCAAAATGTTTCTGGAACAGACTGTGTTTCTTCCTCCTGTTCCATCACACTGTCCTAAAAAAACAAGCAAACAAACCCCAGCGCAAAGTCTTCACGTGCTATTCAAAAATCCAGTCTGTGGCTTGCAACCAGTCATAAGGGGATGGCTTTCTTTTCGTGCTGTCATTACAGGACAGCATCCTAGTATGTGAAATTGTTCGATTTAGCCCAATTTACCTCAGTGCACAATCTGATAAAGTCAAGATTTAGCGGTGGCCATTGCTGTGCAAAACTCAAGGGTTTCCATGGACCAGGTTAAATGCCAGGAGAGAGGGGGTTGCTCTTAGTCTGACAGATGGGTAGACCTTTAATCCAGAGCCAGAAGCATCAGGCAAATGCCCTTCACAATGGCTTCTATTACAGCCAATAACTAACTTGTATAACTAAAACAAAAAAGACAAAAAAGTAGACCGATACAGTCTGCTGAGGCCCACAGATGCTCAGCATTTTCTGAGTTTCCAGATTAACCCATGACAGCTAATTTTTGCAGCCTGTGGCAACTGGTTCTTCAACAGAACAAATGGTAGAAAACTAAAATACCATTGCTTTTAATAATGGAATGACTCAAAGCTCTCAGAGAGAGGGAATGGATTCTGCTGGGAGCTTGGAGTGGGATTCTGGAAACCTATAATGGGCAAAGTTTGCTTTAGCCCTCCCTCTGTGAGCCAGGAGTAATCCACCCTGGTCTAGCCCTTGTCTGACTTCTCTGTATGCAGTAGGCTCTCCGGAGTCAGGTCCATCTCCTCTGGTGAGTCTCTGTGGTGCCTGTTACAGTTCATCCATAAATGCTTTGTAATCTAAACAGTAACGTGCTGCTCGATGTCATTCCAGGTGTCGGAAGTTCTGTCTGAGGAGAAGTGCCGGTTGTCAGTCAGCGGCTGGTTTCATGGCCCGGCAATAGTCAGACCTGCACACCACACGGAAGCACCCTTGCCCAGGAGCCCACACATCCCCTACGATGTAACAAGCCTACGTCTGCTTATCCGCATTTCTGTTTCTTTCTTGTCCCTAGAGTACTTGTTACAGGATGCACTGATGCTTGGGGATGCTTTAATCTTTAACTTCTCCCATTCTCTTGTTTTGTTTCCTGTCCATAAATTCATAGCTGGTTTCTTTCTTGTATATCTTGACTCTGTAAATTTTTGCATCCCTGTAACAGTGCAGAGAATGCAGCAAATACTCATGGTGCTATTTAAAAAAAAAAAAAAAAAAAAAAGGAATGGAATGCTGTGGGGAGGAATCCAGCTGGAGGTGGCCAGCTGGGTAAGGGGGAATTGTGGAATCTTTTTTACTTTTGCAAATTCAGCATTCGAATCCATTTTCCTTCCAGCATGAAATCTTGTACGAGTGGGTCAATCCTGTTTATTTGGACATGGACTCCCAAGCTCAAATCCAGGAGGAATTTGAGGAGCGATCGGAAATTCTCCTGAAAGATTTTCTTAAGGTGAGCCCCGTGGTTTAATCTCATGTGGTCTGCCAGAAGGGGTCATGGGGCAGGTAGGTACCATGAGCTGGGAAGGGCCTTCAGCTGTCAACTGAAACACCTTCTGGTTTTGCCCCCTGAAGGAGAATGGACCAGATGACATCTGAGGTCCTTTCCAACCATAACCATTCTGTCATTCTGCGGGTGGGTCCCCTCTGCCTGGCTGTACAATGCTACACAGGGACTCATCACAAATCACAAACTTTGCTTCAGCATTCTGGTTTCCTGCAAAGCAGCAAAGCGGAAGGATGGAAACACACGTGTCCTAGTTTCAGCTGGGATAGTTAATTTTCTCCTTCCTGCTTCCTAGCCTTGTGGTGACCAGAGTGTCCTTCCCTGTCCCTCAGGCTCTCCCAGCACTCAGGGAACTCGACCTGCCTGTGAAACAAGCGACCTGTAATGGTTTTGTCTATGTGAAAGGCTTTGTTTCTCATGGCTGATTTACCTCTGGTTTACTGGGCATCTGTATCTCAGTGAGGTTGCATTCTCACCCAGCAGACAATCAAGTACAATTTGATACCTATTGGTATCAAATTGGCACTGAAAAGTCACGTTGTCCGCCCAGGCTATGCCCCTCAATTCCACAGTCTTTAGGCACCCCAAACAAGTTAAAAAAAAATATGAGGAGTGCCTTACCTGAGAGGAGCCAATGGCTGCTTCTAGCACACCGAGGGGGACCCAGGAGCTAAACGTTCAAAGTTTCTGTGCTGTCTTTCTCTCCTAGAAAGAAAAATATCAACTGCTGTGCGAAGCTTTGGAGAACAAAGGCATCCAGTGGAGTAGCCGGGGGCCTGCCAATAAAAGGTGGGGAATGACAGTGTCCTGCACCTACTGATGCAGGAACTGCCAAGAGGCTGCGCTGGTGGACGCTGCCCCCAGGGATGCGGTCCTCATGCTTCTCCACTGCTGACGCCTCTGTTGTCTTTCAGACTCTACGAGACAGCAGAGGAAGACAGCCTCCCTGACATCCCGAAGAAGTTCCTGCAGTTCTTGCACTCTGAGGCCTTGTTTTTATTGCTTTCCAACTTCACTGGCCTAAAGCTGCACTTCCTGGCTCCCTCTGATGAGGATGAAGATGCTGGGGAAGGAAGAGCAGCAGACGCTGCTGGGAACAGTGGTCCCAAACCTGAGCAGGAAGAGACTGAACAACACACTGCTAGCGATCCCCATCAGCCAGACCAGCCCGACAACATCCCCGAAGCACAAGACGGTGAGACACAGAACGGTAAGTCGAGTGGCAGCAGCGTGAAAGGACTTGAGCAGAATCCTGATGTTAAGGATGTTGGCAGCAGAATTCCCCATGATTTTCACAGAATTAGCATTTCCCCTTTACTGCAGCCAGCAGAAGGCACCAGCACAAACGCAGGACTTGGAGCAACTCAGACTGGGTATCCAAATTAAGTGACCATTGCAAAAGAATTTGGAATAAAATAATGACTAACTTGAAGATACCGTTTGGAACGGACTTAAGAGTGGGACTTCTGTAGGAGTTAAGGCATGGCACGGGGTGTTCATTAGTTGCCCAGTAATCTTTTGCCAATAGTTATGCTCGTGCTTCGTATAAAAGTAGATTTTTGTATGAGACCAAATCAAAAGGAAGAAAGTGAACAGACGAGAAGTAAAAAGAATTAGAGTTAGAAAACCAATACCTGAAACTAGGATTTAACCTTTTAGAAAATGCTGCCAGCCTAAATAACCACTCAGTTGTCAGCAATGAGATCTCATTGCTGTAAAAGATAGATTAATTTTGGATTCATGGATTGGTGCTGTTTATTTAAAACTTTGAAGTTTAAGGGTAGAATTTTTGAAGATGCTCATCCTGCACTGAGTCAGGCAAGTTAGCAGGCACAGGAGTAAAAGGTAATAAAAACCCCCAACTCCTCCTGCAAGTCCCACTGGAACACTGAGCTGGTACAAAGGCTCTGTTTTTCCAATTCCTGCAGGTAGTAATTTTGCCTCTTCTCTCTGCCATGTTCCCAATGTGCGATTTTAAACTCACACATGAGGGGGGCATAGTTTGGGCATGCATGGACTGAAAACGGAGCTAGAGCAATTGGTGGGAGGGGGGGAAAGGCTTCCCCAAATTCTGATGTACCTCCTGGGATGGCACCTGCAGAAGTGAGTTGAGAGCAGCATCCTCCTTTCACCGAAGCACCCGGTAGTTCTGGTACTTCACAGATTGGTTGCTGGCCCTTGAAGTTTGGACTGCTACTGTAAGTCCTGGGAGCAACCAAAAAAAAAAAAAAAAACCACAAACAAACAAAAGGGGGAACTGGTTAAGTCAAAGCACAGCACAGCTTGGCCCCTTTCAAAGAGCGAATCTTGGCCTCCCTCCTCACACCAGTCAGAGGACATAACTTAGACCCAGCTCTAAAAATGAATTTAACTTGAGATCCACGCGTTTACTTTTTCTTCCCTTTACGCTTTGCTGGGAACGGCAGAGATAGCAGTGCAGGGGCTTGTCCCCTACATGCCCTGAGCTTCGCGGGCATCAGCTGTCGTACAGCTTCATTGTTTTCCCTGGCTTGTTTGTTCCCCCTTCTAGGCTCAGGTACCCCTGTGTGTGCAGGGGAGCTGAGGCACTGGACCCACGGGCACTATACTCTCGTCCATGATGCTCAAGCAACAGAATTTGCTCTTGACCTGCTCTTCTTCTGTGGCTGTGAGGGTAAGTGGACAGAAGGAAGTTATCGGGGCTCCCCTGACAAGATTTGTGTAAAAGGCCTTCTCAACTCTCAGCAGTGCTACAATAGCCAAAATTTCCCTGCTTTTCCTTACATGGAAGGGCTCTGTAGGCTTTTCCCTAGTCCTCGCTTCTGCATAAGCCCTGGTTTCAGTCGTCCTTACACAAAGATTTGGGATGGTGGCCTTGGGATCAGCTTTGACCTTTCCTGCTGGAGCCAGGAGGTGGCGCCTGGGCAGAGGGAGAGCCTGTGGCTCCCAGGCTCTGGGCACAGTGAGGGCCAGGTGGCCAGCATCCCCCCTAGAAGTGTTCCATTTCGCCCCTTTTCTCATCAGAATTATCACTGCGCCTCCAATTCACAAAGCCCAGGGTTTTCAAAAGTTACTTGAGGCATGTCTAGGCATTTTAGGTTGATTGCTAGTTAGTGGTGGAAAGAAAAACCTAAACATAAGCATTTTGGAGCAGCTGAGCCCAGAATCCATGGCTGAAATCACCTGGCACATGCCAGTAATTACAGGGAAAGCCTTTTGCATATCTGCTAAAGCAAAACCGCTCTGTGTGTGAGGAGCAGAGTGCCAAGCAACCTTAAATAGCCTGTCTGTGGTAAAAGGCAAATCTGGTACAGGTGCTTCAAGTTATTTCTAATTTGGAAAAAAATAAAACAAAACAGACCAGCAGGAGGGAAACTGGGGATCGTCCTGTACCCAGTAACTGTGGGGAGTGGAAAAATGGCACCTCCAGTAGCCTGGACAATGTGGAGCTTTCTAAGAATCTTTCTTTTCTATTTTAAGACTGGGATCCCGAATATGGTGGCTTTACTTCCTACATCGCTAAAGGCGAAGATGAAGAGGTAAGGACCTCAGCTGCTGGCTGCCAATTAGATACAGTTGTTTAGGGTGGAGAGACGTAATTCCGCTTTGTCATAACGCTAGCATAATCCTGAGGGCACTCAGTATCGCACTGGAGCCTCCCTGCCTGAATTACAGAGCTCATGGGAGCTGCAGGAGGCTCACATTCAGTGCTGAATCCCACCTGCGCCAGACCTTTGCTCTGACTGGGCTTGTGAAGCCGTTTGGTTTTTTTCTTCCTAGCAACGATCTCAAAGCCGGTTTTGCAAAACTGATTTCCTCCCTTATTTTCCTGTCTTCTAGCTGCTGACAGTGAATCCAGAGGACAACTGCTTGGCCTTAGTTTACAGAGACAAAGAGACCATGAAGTTTGTGAAATACATCAATCATCGTAGCTTGGCACGCCTGAGAAAGCATCCCAACAGAACAGGATTTTGGGATTTTTCCTTTGTCTATTATGAGTGACAGTGCACAGTGTGACCGTGTTCACACAGAGATAGTGGCAGCGGGGGGCAGGGGCCAGATTTCTACCCGGGCATTTAGCTGGGGCCTGTCTAAGCCCAGACAAACTTTGCTTCATTGCACTGTAGCTAAGCTGCTACCAGGTGGGGCCCAGGTGACACAAACGGAAATTGGGCTTCCGAGCCCACTGTAACACGTGCTGTCAACCACTTTTAATGCTATAGGGAGGGGGTCACCATCATGCTGCACTGTCGGCTTTCCAGCTGTTCTCTCATGGAAATAGCACGGTGGGGTCTATCTCTAACCTATCAGGGTGAAAAATGACAACTGTGCCTTGCCTCAAGCTGACAACTGATTTTTATTATTAAAAAAAAAGAAATAGGTCAGTTAAATGCTTCAAACTCTGGTTGGGCGAGTTTTGTTACAAAACACCCAAGACATTCTCTGGGGCTTAACTGTGTTCGCTGTTTGTAGAGGCAGAAATAAAGGCGCTGCCATGGAGGTTTTTCCAGCTCCACGACTCCATGGGGGTAGGAAGGAAGACAGTGCGGCTGTAAAGCTGCTGGCACCAAGGAGGACCTGGCACTGTAACAAGGAGCAGGACTTTGTCATGCTAAATGCTGTGCAGGCAGACCCAGATGCAGCCCTTTTGCTGAAGGATTTATGAGTCAATTAGAGGAGAGACCTGCTCCCCAGACCTCCTCCACCTGGGCGGGTCGTGGATGGTGGTGGAAGGCTTGTGGAGGTGGGCTGGTGGCAGGAAGGCCATAACTCACCTCTCCCTGGCTCCTCAGCCGCAGGCAGCAGGAGGGTCACCAACAGCATGGCCTCGGTGTCACACAAAGTTTTGTCCTGGGGTCTGGGAGGTTCCAGCGTGGCTTCGGTCACTGGAGATCAGCTCAGAGCTTTCCAGGTCGCAGATACCCAGCTCCTGTGATAAAGAGCACAAGAAAGGCAGCGGTCTCGGTGCCATACCTTCCCCCTCCGTGCATGCCTTCGGTGCTGCTCACCAGCCCACCTTCACTGCAAGCAGGAGAGCGTGCCGGGCTGTTGCCTCCAAGGTGCCCAGCCACCACGAGGTGCTGTCACAGAGCTGTGCTGGTTGCTTCAGGCAGCAGCCAGGCTGTGGAACACCTTGCAGGAAGGCTTAGCCCTGGCCTGCACATGCTTGCCCAAAACTTCTTTTGTTTGGCAATGAGCAGACACAGGTGTAGCTTCAGCTCTTCCAAGCCATTCAGCGCAGGCCCTGGGCTTGCAGCAAGCTGGGGAGCACGTGCACATTTCCTTCCTCCTGGGTCAGGAGAGGGTAGCTTTGGCTTGGGGCCTGCTGCTTCTCCAGTTCCAGGCCTCTTGGTGACAACCAGCACGGTGGTGTAAGACTGCAGCAGAGGAGCAGTAAGCTCAAAGCAAGGCCATCTGTGTCGGCACCCAAGGACTCTGCACCCCTCTTGGCACAGCAGGACATCCTTTGGGGATGACTTCATGAAGCTACAGGAACAACAACCTTCAGCTGTGATCCCAACACACAAGGTTTGAAAAAAGAAACACTGAAACACAAAGCTGCTGCCATTACTTCTAAAATGAAAGGTGTCAGCCCCTGCTGGTGCCAGGGCAAGGGGAGAATGCAGCCATTCAGAGCCTGAGGCATTGGCCCATACAGTTTCAGTGTCAGTTTAGTCCCTGGCTTTTCCCTCCTGCTGGGCAGGGAGAACAGCAGAAACGTGGTTGCTACAAGCTGCTAGCACGAGAGCTCCACCATCTTGTTTGTATTCTGACTCTTCTCCCTAAGCTGACTTCTCTGTGCACTGCCGAGACTTTCTTGCTTGGTTTCAGCCTTCCTTTGTTACTCTTTTATGCTACTTAAAAAGGCGACGGGATGAAGCTAGAACCAGATCCTGAATCACGGGCAGGATTCCCTTCTTTGTGAATCATTGGTTTCTGAGGCACTCTGCTGCCTTTCTGTTCCCAGGGAGAAAGAAGTGTTTGTCTCTTTCTACTGGAGCAGCTCAGAACAAGTAATGAAGGTTTCAAAGGGGGGGAGGGGGGGGAACGAAACACCACCACACTGCATCCAGTTCTGGGCTCCCCAGTTCAAGAAGGATGAGGAACTACTGGAGAGAGTCCTGAGGAGGTCTACACAGATGATGAGGGGACTGGAGCATCTCCCCTACAAGGAAAGGCTGAGGGAGCTGGGCTTGTTCAGCCTGAAGAAGAGAAGGATGAGACGGGCTCTCATCAAAAATATCTCAAGGGTGGATGTCACAAGGATGGAGCCAGACTCTTCTCAGTGGTGCCCAGCGCCTGGTCAAGGGGCAATGGGCACAAACTGAAGCAGAAGAGGTTCCAGTTGAACAGGAGGAAGAACTTGACTTGGAAGGTGACTGAGCCCTGGCACAGGCTTTCCAGGGGGGCCGTGGAGTCTCCTTCTCTGGAGATACTCAAAGCCCGCCTGGACAATGTCCTGTGCACCCTGCTCTGGGTGAGCCTGCTTGAGCAGGGGGGTTGGACTGGGTGATCTCCGGAGGGCCCTGCCAACCCCTGCCATGCTGGGATTCTGTGAATTGTTTGGAACAAAGGTGACAGATACCACAGCTATTCACAGCATAGCCAGGCAAAGGTCGGAATAAATTAATTAACAAAACGAAGTTACTTATTCTGCTGCATTGCCAACGTGAGAGCCTGCTTGGTAGATCTTGGAACAACCTCCCAGAAGGCTGGGAAGAAGCTGGGCTCTCTGAAGCTTCCTGCTTTTTCATAATAAATAACACACTAGAGGGCATACCAGCCTCTACTTGAGCCAGCCCATATCTATCTGCTCACACACGGAACCACCCTTCTGCCTGTGGTGACTGAGATGAAGTAATTTAAGAGGCCAGATTTGCAGTTAGCATTCAAAGATTTAAAAATCAACACATCTCTGCTCTGCTCTCCCACCCTTCCTGTTCGGTCCTGAAAGCCAATGGCAGCCCCCACACGCGGCAGGTACAAGGGAAAGACTCCGCTTGCCCAAATTCCAAGCGACGTGAGCGACTTGGGGAGAGGGGGCTTCATTTAGCCTGCACTGATAATGGACCCCTCTCCATACATGGTCCATCTACATTTTTATGGAGATACATACATATATATCCATTGCTGGGTATAAATCTGCATTTACAATTAGGTAAAGCCACTTGCAAAGTACTCTGATCTATGGAGAGGAGCATGAAATATGTATGTACCCATAAAACAAGTAAGCAGGACAATACAGAAAAATAGGCTCAAGAACAGTTAAGCGAACAGTTACGGAGCGTGAGCAGCAGTGAACAGAAACTTCACCCCTCGCACAGACGGGGACCAGGTAGGTGGTACCAGGATGTAGGTTTCCCACCAGCCAACTGCACCTCCCAAGCCTGGCACTCGGTGCTGGGTACCAGCAGCTTCCAGTTACTGAAGTGCCGAGTTACGCAAATGCTTCCCAACAAATTTTGGGGGATTTGGTGGTTATCGGTTTGCCAATTGGCTGAGAACAGGAACAATTCAATACGGAGCAGAGTAAAACAGTTTAGCTGTAGACCAGGCGGAAGGAACAGTTTCTGCATTCTTAAGCACGCAGTAAAGTTCTGACATCGGGCATTCAGTGAATTGGTATTAATTCGAGCAGCGATCCACAGGATGTGGAGAAACAGGGGCTAAAGGCAGATAAACCTGTTGTCAAGCGTCAGTTCCAATTGTTTGGGTTTGTGTAAACTCCAAACTGGCAGGACAGTGGCCTGGACCTGATCCCCAGCACGTGTACCAAGGCGTGGTGCCGTCCAAGCAGCCTTGCCCATGGATTTTTAGCGATGCACAGCTCTACTGGTGTGGTTTCAGAGGTTGTTCTGTACTTGACCAGCAGCTTCACCTGCTGCGACCAGTTCCCATGCCAGAGAGCGGGATTCACTAGGCATTAGTCCTGGGCTGGGGACCATTTGCCACTGATCTCTCGGTACAGGTTCAGCTCACGTCAGCTGGCTGCTGCACACCAGCCAAGGGCTGCTTCATTTCTACAGGCAACTGCAAATCTTGTATCGCTTCAGTTTACAGGACATGGGTTTTACATTTGGGCATAAGATAAGGTAAGATAAAAGTTGCTTTTAATGGGAAAATGAATGACAAATTGTTGTCAGAAACCTTAGCTAGGGGAAAACCAGCCTTATCAGAGGTCTGGACTGTGACCAAAGGACCAAGCTCACTGCCCAGAGCAAAACAGAGCTGGGGCTGGAAGTGCCTGGTGTGTGGGGCTGGAAAATCAGGCTGATGGGAAAGGTGCTTTCTGGTCAGAGCCACGCTCTTGTCATTGAACAGACTACACAGATATAAGCATTAGGATTCTAAACATAAAGAACAAGAGGTTGAAACAGTGGGAACAGGTATAGCAGGTGGCAGAAAGCCCAGAGCTTGTGCCAAGAGACTGTTCCATAATCAAGCCCTAAAGCTCGCTTGCTTAGAACAGCATGGGTGGCTCAGCAGCCTCTCACTAAGGAGTTGGATTTGACTAACAACCATGTTCTTCAAAGGATTCAAACGAGCTCCTGCTGCAGGTCTGAAGTGACAGAGATCTGTGCTTTTGGCAGCACAGTTCTCCGTATTGAAGGGGCCGAAGCAGTGGCTGTTTTGGGGATTAAAACACACCGCAAGAATTATGTTCCCTGTTCAACTGGCTGCATGCTGACCAGTCACTCTGTAGCAAATGGTGGGCCGCTGGCTTTAATTCCATAGTAGCAAGTAAGAGACAGACCCGTTGCAGGAGGTGAATACCCCCGACAGCCCCAAGAAGCTGCCCGAAAACTTTGCTTCATGGTGGCCGACTGCCTCCTGCCCGCCCACGCTGCAAACACCCACCCATGCAGCAGTAGCTGCACTGAACAGTGGCAGAAGCTGCGAGCACTGGGGCCCAACCTCCAGCCTGTGCAGGGTATTTTTAGCTTCTGGAAGAAATTTGCTTTGGCAAAGGTTCTAAAGTATTTGTAGATCTAAGATATGGCTTTGCCATGTTTTATATTTTATCCAATTCTAAGAGATCCCACAATTATTAAACAGGTTTGAGCAGGAGCCAAAGAGGTGTTTTCAATACCTTCTTTTGATCCCATTAAGTACTGCCAGCTCTTTGTAAGTATGCACCGGCTTGGGTGTAGTTTGGTTTTGTCATTGGCGAAATGCACCCCTGTCCACCTCAGTATCCACATTTTTTTCCAGCAGCAGCGCAGAACCAGTAGCTGGAAGCAAAACTTCCTGCAATCCAGGTGTGGGGAGAGCGTCAGGTATGGAACAGACCACTTCCTACCTGCGTAGATCGTGGAACTGGACGGCTTTCAAAGATCTTCTGGCTTTAAGAGCCAGCAGGGAGATGTTATCCCTTTGGTGCTTCTAAAAATGGCAGTTTACCTAGAAAGCAGCACATCCCCATCATGAAACCCGGGATTCTCTGACACAGAGAGCTGAAGTGTTTAGTGCACGCAGAGGTTACGCAGCAAAACCAGAGAAGCAGTTTGGTTTTTTCCCCCCCAAAAAACACACTTAGCCATACGCACCTCCCCAGCTAAATCAGAGCAAAAGCAGTCAAGCCAGTCTATATTTTAATGGAAAAGGCCAATGCCTTAACTACAAAATATATTAAAATACATAAATTAAGTTACCGTAAGAAAAATAACTGTTCTAGGGTCCCACCTCTGTCTTGCATAAATACCACATCTGCGCTTAAACTCGGATGCTTTCTTGACAAAGCTTTGGCCTCCATAACAACACTTCTTACCTGATGGCTTAACTAAAATGCTACCTTTGCAGTTACTTCACCCTACGGTGGAGCAGGGGACTGAATTAACCGTGGGTCATTACTGGTCTGTTATCTGCCAGCTGCACGGCAACGCTGCCTCCGTGCAACTGCTCCGCCTCCAGTCACTTCAAGAAGAGGCTGTTCCCACCCGCATTATCCTGAAGAGCATGCTGAAGTTGTTGCTTCTTATTGCATCCCGACAAGCACCGATCACTTGTGTTTTAGGTTTGCCGACTGTAAAGAGAAAAAAAAAAAATGTGGGGGAAGAGAAGAAAAACACAGTTCAGTTACTGAGTAAGAAACTGGTAAAAACATTTATTTGATTCAGTCTCAAAATTTAGGGGTTTCTTCCAAATATTTTTTTAAACTCACTGTGAAATGCCACCTTTCTTCTGATACGTAAATAAAATCCTTTCTTTAAAGAAGACTCATATGTAGCTCTACTATAGGAGAGCTTGAAGGACTTGGTGAAAGGGGAGCGCTATAAATCGACAAAAAACCCCAACTCCTTCCCCAAAGACTTACAGGACTAATAATATAGATGAACAGCCCTGCTTAAGTTGTTGGGTTGGTTTTTTTCACAGAATCACAGAATTGTAAGGGTTGGAAGGGACCTCAGGAGATCATCTAGTCCAACCCCCCTGCTAAAGCAGGCTCACCTAGAGCATGCTACACAGGACTTCATCCAGGCGGGCTTTGAATATCTCCAGAGAAGGAGACTCCACAACCTCCCTGGGCAGCCTGTTCCAGTGCTCTGCCACCCTCAGAGTGAAGAAGTTCTTCCTCATATTCAACTGAAACCTCTTATGTTTCAGTTTGCATCCATTGCCCCTAAAAGCTGAATAATAAATTAAGAACTGAAACACTACTGTAAAAATGATTTTTCAATTGTGTTCAACAAACCCAGCAACTCCTGTACCACCCAGAAAGCTGGAAACGGCTTTGAGCTGTTCTTTCTAACCTTGTGATCCCAGATTTATACTGGACACTCACAGCTGACCATCACAGGCACTTGGCTATGACTGAAAAATAAGAAATTACTTCTGCTAGCTTAGTTTCAGGCCAGAAAGTCACTTAACTAACCCAGGTGGCCTCCGAGACGCATCTTCTCTGCCTCACTGGGGTACTAGACTCCCCGTTCCCTCCAAACACAGGTACTCACCACGTAACCGCCCAGCTCTTTGGATTGCCTGATTCACAGCTTTCAGATTATTCAACAGCTCCGTGTGATTGTTGCAACGGATTTTGTATTGATTTATTAAATCTCTGTTAAGATCATACAGCTCGATGTACCGTGTCTTCATGTTTTTCCTGAGGGAACAAGCAGTCCGATTATTTGCTTGCATCTCTGTGGACAAGAAAGTAATTTCTGGTTTGTCAGTATGACAGTGTAGTGATACATGGTTGTGACGGCTACCATGGCTACCCACGTCTCTGCCAGCTACAAGACAACAGACTTGGCTAGACGTGTTGGTTATCCTCATTATTTTACTAAAGATTCTGTGATTCCCTTAATGCACCTTTTCTAATGTATCTCACCATCTCAACACTGATTCACCCCACTGGCTCTATACTAAGCCCCTACCCTTGCTCTTTTGCCTTCCAAAACTGGTTTTCCACCTAAAGAACACAACAAAGCTCAGGAAGAGCTCATGGTGGGACCAGCAAAGGTATCAATTCTACATCAAGAGTTGTAACTATGCAATCCCTAGATCACACAAATGGTTTTTTTGTGCTTTTTTTCTGCCTGAAAAGCAAAGACTGGCCGGTCTAAACCCAAACTACGCAAGTTAAGCAGCAATTGCTCACATGTCTCCCAGGAGTCGTGCGTCTTCCGCCTGAACTAGCATGCTGCGGATGAGGTTGGAGCGTTCGGCCATGTCAGCAGTGAGCCTCTGATTCACTGAGTGGTGCTCATCCACCTGGCCGAGGCAAACAGCCATGAGAAAGGGCCCCCACACTCTGGGCATACAGGTAATTTTTGAAATTAATCCTCAGCCTAGCGTAATAGGCAATAACATCCCAACTTAACCCACCAGCACCCCTGGGACCACTTTCCTTCCCCTCAAACCCTGGCTGCCAGGGTGGTACCCTGTGATCAGGCTGAGACACAGACCTTAACTCCCTGACCCAAATCCACAGCTCAATCTCCCAGGCAACATATTTACATTATCCCGAACAATCAACTGCTGGGGACCAAGTGCCTGTTCCACAGAACAAAGAATAAACCAAAAGTGGTGGGTGGCCCATTGTCTTTGCACAGAATATATAGCAAGCTGTCGCTGGGTGATTTCCACAAGGAAGGTCAAGCAGTTTAGCAATCCCGTCATACAAATGCCCCCCAGTGACTGCTTAGCTGACAGTTCAGAAATGCCCAATGCCTCCCCACCTTGACCAACACTTTCCGCAGCTCCTCAAAGTAGGCAGGGAAATCTGCTTCCACTTGCAAATCTTCAATGGCCAGAAAGGAGGCCATGGACTGGATAATGTCACCAGCCAGATCAATATCATCTGTGTTGATGGAAATCTGTCAAGAAAGGAAGGAAAGCACTTCAGCGCTCTTCTGTGCCAAAACACCTCCCAGAACTGCCCAGCAGGACTGCCTCTCCAGGCTCAAAGCAGTTCATTCGGTCACGAGGCAAAAATTGTTGCATGAGCAAGCTCTACGGCTTTAAGTAGATAAGGAGAGGCCAATTTTAAAGGGGCTTTTATTCAGGCCTGGGTCAAAGAGGCATTTGTGCATACAGGACCGGTGCAAAAGTTACAGGCAGCCTTTGTGCCTCAAATTATGGCTCCCTGAAACCACTCTGTGTGGGAACAAATACCTTCCTACAGATCTGTAGGCTAAGCAGTTTTCTTCATTAACTGGCCCTGGAATTTTACCCACTAAGAGTACACAGACCCAAAAGTTTCCAAAAACGTCCCTCAATGTGTACTTCCGCTGCCTGTTCACTTCTTCATTTTTACTTCCTCACGTTGGCACCACTCCTAAGTTTCACTGGAGTATAATTAAATGGGTGTTCCCCTTGTCCACGAAGGTACTCACCTCTCCGCCAGGTTTGATTTTGAGGCAGAGCTGTCCTGCATTACGAAGGGAAGTGAAGCAAACCTGAAAGGGAGCGCTCTGAAACTCTGCATCCTCTGGTAGCAAGAAGCTCTGATTCAGCCACATAACAACCTTGCAGAAACAAAATTAAGAGCATCAGCCATCACCCGTGTGGAAAGCCTGGAGAACCAGGCGATGTCCCTGCATGTGGTGTGCACCAAGGCACTCTGTTCAGGGTACCTCAAAATTTCCTTTACTCCAATTTGCTCCCCTAAACCCACATCATGAACTTGTTGGAATGGGAGCAGTTGATTCCCTGCTCCAAAGATGAGTATTTGTAAGGAAGTCAAATCCAACAACCAGAGACCACAGCCCAGGTTCAAAACGAAAACCCAGGCCTGGAGACCAGAGAAAGCTGGAAGCAAGGCCTGGTTCTACAGCAAGAACTTAAAGGAAAGTTTAATTTCATCTTGGTTTTTGCCTTTGCTATTTAATGCAGTCAAAGTCATGTAACTACAGCAGAGCCCTATGGTTATGAGGGGAACAGCCAGCTCTAATTACTACCACCCCACAATTCAGGTGTTTTAGAGCCAAAGCTACAGCGCTGCTGCTCATCTGTTGTGAAACCGAGCCATTATCCGGGCGCTGTACAGCCTTCTTCCTGTTCTCAGGTCACTGCGTAATTTTTCCTTTGCTCTCAGAAATCTCAAGCCAATTGCAGTCCTTCCACCTGCAGTATCTGCACACAGGACCAGGAAAATAGGAAGCAGAGCAGAAACTCACCCTTTGCGGCCTCTCATTCGTTGTACAGTTGACAAAGCTCAGCGGCTCCGTGGCCGAGTCCGAGCTGCTCAGGGCGTACATGGAAAAGCGGGGAAGCTGTCTTGTCAACTCAAATACATGGAACTGTGTGCTGGAAGCAACCCAAAGGAGAAATGGAGACAGTTACTAACATACCAGGGATTCACCTATTGCAACGGTTCCTGGTCCTTTTTTAGCTGGCTACTGACATCAGCAGCTTCCCACTGCAGAATCAGCTGCTTACCATTTCCCAGAAAAAACACTGGAACTTGGAAATTCCAGGCTTAACCCATTATGAGATTGAATGATTCCACCCTACTGCATATATTTTCCATAATCCTTCCCATGAAATATATTCTCTACGCTAAGACATTTACATCTTACTATGTGATTGAATATTTTCTTGACAGGTTCAGTGAAGTCTTATTAAAAGCAATAATAAAGACAAACAGAGAAAACAAAAAGGGAATTCAGTCCCATACGTGATTTCTGCAGTGGTTGGCTAGCTCACAAAATACGCCTCCCGATTCAGGGAAAGGAGGCTGCTTCCTGAGGCACCGCCAGTTCTGGCAGACACAGGCAGGGAGAAAGCTGGTGTCAAGTGTATAGGAAGAGACGTGTTATTTTTACAGGAAACCGGAAAAGCATTGCCTTGAAATCAGGCATATGCTACTTTCTACTTGCCCTGAAGACAAATGGGTTCAGGGTTATTTCATCGCTTGAAAGACACCACTGTGCCTCCAGGCCTGCTCAAGTACTTTGCCCAGAGCAGCCACCACTTGGGCCCAGAGAGGCAGCCACATTGAGCAGGCAGCCGGGGTACAGCCGCCACCTCTCCCAGCTCCCTCTGGAGACCCTTGATCAGGTATCTCCTGGACAAGAAATGCTCACTGTTCCCCTAAAGGCAGGGCTGGAGCACAGCAGGTCCCAGCAACTCTGGAGCATGTAGACTTTGTCTGGAGAAGAGCTCAGCATCACGGGTGCAAGTGTTTTTAAGAAAGCATTCCAGCTCTTCTTTCAGTAACAGAAAGAAGTGGGGCACCAGGGAATTAACGGTGCACTTCTCAAGGGACAAGCGTGAAGCCACATCATTGCTGCTCTCTGGTCATGCAGTTGGCTATGGAGACCAGGACAGACCAGGACACAGAACTCACCTGTTCCTGTAACCCACAAAGGCTTTGATGTGCAAATCCACAGGGACATCTTTGGGTGGAGTAAGGGGAACACGAACACAACCGGAGAGGTTCTGGAGACTGGGGTGTACCACATGGCTCTCTCCTTCAAATATGCCTTCAGCAAAGATCAGCACAGCACGGATGATTGTGTCTTAGCAACAAGAAGAAAAAGCAGTTTCTAGATTAACAGCTGGCCTCTGGCAACAAACTACCACTCTTTGCAGAATTAAGCACAGTCAACTCTTTACACTCCCTCCTCTGAATTGTTAAAATACCCCAGATGACAGGCAGTACCACATCTGGACCTGCCTGCAACCTCAGCACGCCTGGTGCTAGGTGCATTTGCTATCTTGGGGTAGTTCCAGTTTTGCATATAAGGCCAGCTGAGGTCCAGCTGCACTCATGCACCACCCTCACTAACACGGCTGTAGGTTAATGTTTAGAGTCAACACAGGGAGTGTTGCAGGGAGCACCGAGACTTGTTTCATCCACGTTAAATGTTAATTGCCTTGGAAAATAATACATAACAAGAAACAAATTCCATCAAACTCCTCTCCCCTGAGATCCACCAAAGGAACACAGCTTGATTTAAAACTCTGTGAAAGGAAAGCAACCACAAAGGGGAAATTACAGACAATAAAGGGGAGACAGGCAAATCCTCAGCTAAATATAACTAAATGGTCGCATGAATTTACATGAAATGAATATCAATGGTTGCAGGTTACCACTCACCATTTGTGGTGGAAATACACAGCTCCACGTGGGCAGACTGGCTGTCAGAGCCCAGATTAACCGAGAGGGCTGTCTGGAGTTGGGTATTCGCTGGAATCACACCTCTCTGCCCATCCGCTTCCTTCAAGTGAGCGTTCAGTTCAGCCTGTTGCAAAACACATACCCTTCAGATTCAGAATGTCAAGATTTTCATTCAAGTGACCTGGAGAACATACGCACAAGTCAGTTCTTTTTTCTTGCAGGAGAAGGTTGTGTTAGACCAATTCCCAGACCCCTTCACATCACTACGAATAGCAGCTGGATTAGGCATGGAGCTGTGGAAACCTGTGGTACAATTTGTTCAAGTGCTTTATTGTCGACGGATCTCAGCTCTGTACCCAAACCTTTATTCAGAAAAGCACTTAACATATATTCAATTTTAGGCACAAGCTTATGTAATTCCACGCTTTTGCTATGGTGGTCATTTACTGTTCTTTCCTCTGACTATTTTTCAAAGCTCTTTATTTCTGCGCCTTCACCATCAAGCCACAAGCGCGCTTCCTATACCCTGGCAGGGCTCCCACTCACCTGATCCTCTCAAACAATCCTCTATGACCCCTGAGTTGGTTCACGCATTGAAATTTACAGTTTGCAGTCATAAGCCAAAGCACAGGCTGAATAGAATCCAGCTCCAAACCCAAATGCTCCGGCAAGATGAAGGAGCAAGGAAAATGTTACTGATTAAAATGCAAAAAGCAAGTTCCAAACTTGCACGAGGAGCAAGCCAGATGCAGCAGCAGAAATCCCCAGCAGACGATTTCACTGCATCCTAACAGGTTACAGCTCTGACTTGCCTGGACTGCCCCACGACTGCTTCCCAGATTCCTCCAGGTTTATAGCAATAGAAAGGTGTGTTTCAGCCCTGCACATTGTTTAAGTAGTACCTTTGCATTTTCCTCATAATTTCTTAATTCCAGCAGCAGATTTTGTTTCTTTTGACTAAGTTCTCGGATCAGATCCTGCTCAGCGCTTGTATCCATTAGGTTTCCTTTCATCTCCTCCCCTCCTGGCAGATAGCCTCGGACTGCACAGAAACAAAACACAGCCAATTTCAGCAAAGCCCTGCAGCCTCCCCAAAACTTTTGCTTCCGTAACAAGACCCCCTTGTACCACCTCAGCAGCAGACACTGATTCTGGTCTTCAGCTGGTACCATTCAGCTGAAAACTTGAGCACCAATTTACACCCGCAGAGCTTCTGACTTCCTTGGTGATCAGGACAAGAGAACCACACATTTAAAAACAGAAAAAAGGTGAATTTCCAACCTGTCTTTAAGCTATCTTCACCTGTGAAGACAAGTGCAGCGTCCAGTCCTTTTGCAAGAGGATTCCCACTGCAATCACTCTTGCAGGTGCTTAGGCAAGTTTGCAATTATGCAAAATTAACAAAGCGTGTACCTGGATTTCTAGAGCTGGTCAGAGGAGTTGTTACTGTCTGGAGGTGACTGTAAGTCACTGTTAATCAGCCAGTAAACAAGATTTACCCACATTAGTTTTTCACCAAATCAAGGGATACTTCACTTCAAGGGGTAAGACCTGTTTCCCAGTAGCCCAGTGGAGCAGGGTTATGGTAAGTGTCTCCAACCGCCCATGGAGACAGAAGAGCTGAACAGATGATGAGACAAAGACACTTGCTATAAAATTCCATTTTGCTCTAGGGCTGCGTGCTCAGGTTGCAGCTGACAGTGAAAGATGGGGACAAAAAACTGATACCTGCACAGAATATGCTGCCTGACTATGGAACCCCAGTAAAAAGTTGCAGGGAACTTGAAAAGCATTTAGCATGCATGCTGTCCTCCACTGAACAGACCCACTTCATTATTTCGGAAAGAATCACTCATTTAAAATGAGAGCAAGACAGAAAAATACACTGAAATGCAGAAGAACACCTCATGTGAAATGATGCTGACCTCATGTGAAACGATCCTGGCCCTGAACAGAACTCTGATGACAAGGACTATGAGAATGCATTGTCCATGTAACCCCAAGAACAGGGCTATTACTATCTAATAATGCCTAAAGGCTCCAGCCTAAGGGGATCCCCATTGTGCCAAGGTTTGGTACCCACCAGAAGAGCACAATCATGTTGAGTGACATTAACCTACACAGCTCTGCTACAACAAGGTATCTTCAGAACTGTGTACAACATTCCCACATTCCCCTCTGTAAGCTTGGGAAAAAGGTTTATATGCTGAAGCCCAAGCACAGCACATCCCCACAGCCTGTGATTAAGACAGACAGCAAAACACTCTGCTATTTAACAAGGACAGGCTTTTGTTCCAAAAGGGTTGTGCCAGACCTGCTTGTCTCAGGCCACTGACGCCAAGCAGGCGGATAATCGCACCAGTGTCTCTCCTGGAGCCATCCCTGTAAATTCATGCTGAGCTTATTTAAATAATCTGCAATCGTATTTGTTTCCACTCACAGTAACCAGGTCTGACTTCTTGAATGCACGGTGGGATAAATCCACCAGTTCTCCAGTCTCAGGATAGCATTTTCCAGGAAACAAAGGGCTGTTAACATCTAAAATTTTTAATATAAAAACTATTCTACTTTAGAAGAAAACCAAAACACACCCTTAGCCTTCTAAACCACTTTACACACTGTAAAGTGACCAAAGAATTATCACATATAGGAAAAAAGATTTCCTATACATTCATCCATAATAACGTTGCCTGAAGAACCATGGTCCATACTGACTACAGTTACCTTTGTGTTACTAGGATGGGACTTCTTCCACTAAGCAAATTAATTCTGATGGCTTCTTGGATCACAATGAAACACGCCGATTATCACGGAGATGGCAATATTCAAAATTCTGTTTGCAGATAGCGCAACTCAAAATTCCCTTAACTTCGCATAAAGCGAAGGGGATTTGGCACACAAAAATGCCTACGGAACTGAAAGAACATTTAGCTAATCTGAGTTGATGTGACGTGCCTGATATTATTGTGTGTTAAATTAATATCCTGAACAATGCTCTTACCTTCGCCATCAACTGAACAGCAGATTAACTGGGTGCTCCCATCCATTCTGTAATCCCCCTCCACCACTCCTGCAATTGAGGAAGCAAAGTTGTCCTTAAAGATGACCTCCCCAGTTCGGTCACTGCGTGCATCAACCTGGAACAACAAAGAGTTCCAAGGCACAGCATGAACAGAAAAAGCTAACTCCAAAACATACATCAGGCCGTACTCCGAGCTGTTAACCAAAAGCCAGTTCCACTCACAGAACTGCAAGTGAACTTGCAGCTCTTGCTGACCAGAACACCGCATGTGAAAAAAAAGTATCAAGAAATGATTCTGCTGGAAGGAACTGCTCTTCAGAGATGCCTTCCTAAGTTACAAACAAGAGGAAGGAAAGAAGGGGACTGCAAGTCTGCACTGGGAAGGTTATGTGCACATCAACGTGGCCACGATGGGACTAAACCAGAAATAACCCTAATGCAGTGTTTACAATCTCTCCTCTTAGCTGCAGCCGTTGCACAGTGAATATTTTTTTTTTTTTTTTAAACACACAAATACCACCACCTTAGTTATCTTTCATGGGAGAAGAAGGGTGAGGGAGGCTCAGTTCCATGCAGCGTGTCTTTTCCAAAGCACAGGAGTCAGCATTACTCTTTCTAGGAGCTAGGGACTGCTTCAGACCAAAAGCAGGGCAGAGACCACCAGTGAAAAAGAACAGAAAAAGGAGTGAAGCAAGGAGAGGTTCTCTCTTTAACGATGTTATACACCTAATCCAACATAAGTTACAACATATCTGGGCTCTAGACTGCCAGCTTGATATGAAGTTAATTAAATTCCCCCAGGCTAATGAGAGTAATGAGAGGTGTGAAGAAAAAAAGCATAGCTTTACAAAAAAAAAAACCTGGCAAGCTGCGTCCAGAGGAGATTTGGAAGCTAGAACAGTCATTTCTGGCAAAGGGGAATACCAAGCAACAGGCTTAAGAGACTACTAATGAGCTGTATAGAATGCCTTTACATAAAATTAAATAACGCTTCATTAATCCTGCCATAGCCGAGACTGACGCTGCTCTCCTGTTACATAACCGCTCTGTCTGGCCCATAGTCTGAGAACATTCAGGAAGCATAGCAGGGGATTATTAGCATGTGCTCAAGACACAGCTGAAAAGAGACACGCACGAGCTCTAGGATGTGGCATATGATCTCTGCTACCATGGAAACAACGTACCACCCCTTCGCAATTGAGCCCGAGCTAATCAGAGGAAGCAGCTTTTCTCTGATCTTGCACTTGGCACAGGATTCACCAGCCAAACTAGGTTTACTGCAATAGTTCTTCAGCACTCAGTTTTTCAACAGTCTTTTTAATTTCTTGGCTGTTCTCCTTCAGATGATTTAACAGCCTTGTTCAAACACAGCTTCCAGATTTACAGCTACTCATTCCCCCCTGTATAAACTCACCTTTCCATTGGACCAGCCAGTGATCAACTCACAGACACCATCAGAGTTCAGGTCAAATGCATGTATGCTCATTGCATGGTTCTTAGACTGAGGACAGGAAACAAAGAACAAATTAAGCTTGGGTGTATTTCAAAATCGAACACGCTTGACACATGTAAGACACTGGAGTATGAGTCTGCAGAGATTACAGAAAGAAATACAAAAATGTCAAACAGGAAGTTTGAGCATCACTATCTGTAAGGTCACACACATCTCTGAAATCTTAGCCCTTGCATTACAAATCTAGTCCACTGCTCTCAGAGGACCTGATCCTTCCTTTAAATAGATTTTCATCCAAGCAGATGGATTAGAACTCACGGAAACAAAATGCAAAAAGCCAAATTCTCTAGGAAAAAAAAATTTAAAAATCAGGGCTTCAATGCTGTCACAAAATGAGAACACTGAGGAAAGCCATTGGCCTCTTCCTGCCGCCTCCCAAGGAATCCCTTCACTTATTACTATTACACAGACTGCTCCAATCCGTGTTATGTTAAGAATATTGAAAAGAGCACGAGGAAAGGATCTTGCCAATATGACTTGTTGCAGCAGCAAATTGCTCTTCATGTGAAAAATTAACTTTGAACATGGATAATGTGAGATTAATTCAGTCTCTGAAGAACAGTGTACTGATTCAGCAATACAGCCAGAGGCCTTTTCTAACGGTGAACTCAAGTTTCTCTGTTGCTTAAGCAACAAGGCGAAGCCAAAGCATCCCTAGTGGTACTGTTATATCAGTGTTGTTTAAGCCATAACCAACAGTCCCAAAAAGCACTGAAAGTACTGATATGGTATTCATTTTGCATGTATCTATAAGAATAGGTAGATTTTGTACAAAAAAAAATTACACCAAGTGGTACACTCTGCAGAAAATGTCAAATTAATCTAAGGAGTTGGCATAACATCAGAATGACCTGAGATTAGGTACCGGATCTCCTAGCAGCCTTCAAATTTTCAGTGATGACTGAAAATTCTAACACTGGACTAACCTTAATCCTCCAGTAGCGGGCTGTCTTGTCATAAACTCCAACCGTCCCATTAGAGAGAGCATAGCCAAACCGACTGCCATACATGGGGCTAAGCGCAGTAATCGTCTTGTGGGGAGAAAGGAGGGAGAGAGAGGATACAGGAATGAAAACTTCCGCATCTTCAGGTAACAGAGAAAAGACTCTACAATCTCTCTACCATATGAGCTGTACACTATTTAAATGGTAAATAAGTCTATTGTAAGAAGCATTAAATACCTATTAAAAATCAGTTGGAAATCACCAAAGGCCTCGTAGGATTTCCTCACACAAGCTGCACTGCCAGCGCTGAGATACACTTCAGCAAAGATTGCAGAATTGCCCTCAAACTGTGAGCTTTGACCAAGTATTTCCTACCACAAGCAGCAACACAACTGCTCATAGGATTCCTGTGGTGATCAGTGCTAACACATTATCGTTGAAAACCTACTCCAAACACCCAACATTCCTTCAAGCTTCAGGAGCTGAGGATGCTAAGGAATTCCACATTACATAGGTTGGGAAAGCCCTAGAGATATTTTGGGTAGAAAACCTTTGCCCAAGATTAGCGAGATAAAAATTAACAGCTTCCACAGCTGGACTTTTTCTGGAACACAGTTAGAACACCTGAGTAAGTAACAGCTCCAGGGAAAGACCCAAGAGTCACAACTCTGCCCGATTCTCACTCCTTTTATGACCCATTACCTCACAATTCTCCACTGAGCTCTCAGTGCTTGGAAATGCAGGTTTTTCCACGCAGTAAGACTAGAGATTTTAATGTCAGGATGATTGCAATCATCTGCCTGGCCTTCTGTGCAACGTAGCACAGGAGACTATTAAACTCTGCTGACTGCTCCCTGATTTTTTTTTTTTTTTTACCATAAAGCATGGTTTCCAAATCCTTTACCCTTCCATCTAATGGATCTTCTCCAAAGCCTTTCACAAGTAACAATACCCTCTGAATCACGAGCACCCAGTAAGGACAGACAGAAGACCCAGCAACAGTCAAACTCAAAGACAGCAATACTCCCTTTAATAACAGATTGTCCATTTATAAAGCCAAGAATCACAACAGTCGACAGTTTCAGTTTCACCAGAGTGAGCGACTAAACATGGAAAATGCAAACTATTCAAGTCTTCCAAACCAAGCATAATGTACAAAGCCCTTGCTCCCTCAATTTACCTTCCTAAACAGCAAGGTTTAGGTGCAGCTGTGCCCTTTTGAATTAGAGCAGTAGGACTGTATCAGGCCTCTAAAAACTCTGCAGGTATGAATTTAAAACAATTCCACTGTGGATCTGGAGGTAAATCATATGAGTGTGATGGACCTTCAGCCTCCCTTTAACTAGAAATCACAACATGACTCTAGACTGGCTACTGTACAGACAGCAGAACAAAGTATAGGCCCAGTTCTAATTCCAGCGATAGCAACAGCGTCCTTTCTAGAACACTGCCCAGATTTACCTTTTACAGCTCTTCATAAGTGGTTTAATAGCTAACTAAGCCTTTTATTCCTAACTCAGGCAGCAGCAGACCTCAGACCTTCAAGGACTAAGGTCTGCAGTGTGTCCTTACTCTACCCTGGGCCCAGAAGGGTCATGAGAAGGCTAAGAAAACCCCTAAATGCAACAATAAGGGTATCTTTCTCCCTTCCAATCAACCAAAAATTAACTGTGGGGATATCTTGGTTCTTAAGCTGAACAGCAACCCCCACACCTTTTGGTTACCACTCTGAAAACCCATCTGCCCTGTATTTTACTTTAGGCACTGTGAAGGTGCAGCTCTGTTTATAATGCCAGCGTTTAACTCCCAACTGCAATACAAACCTCCTGTTTCACCTGGGCTGCCCCCTTCTACCCTGCCATGCACTGCCTGGATACACACAGGGGCAAGTTACTTCATCAGGATTGTGTCAACGCATTTGAGGAAAACTACAGAAGACATTCTTTAGCTCAGAAGGCACCAAGAGCTTCAACCGCAATCCAGTAACTTTAAATCGCCTTTGGACAGGGCCTGGCCTTTCAGTCAAGAGATAGTTACTTTTCTCAACCTGGTAAAAGGTTTGTAAATAAACAAAGCATAATGAAAGACATTATTAAACACTAACTTTTGCAGTTCTAGCAGAATAGATACCATGCCAAATAGTTAAGTAAATACTTAACTATGCAATAAATCTAAACCAAAGTAACCAGAGAAGCTTTACAGTACACAACGTTTTCAGCTCCATCAGCAATTATAATAAACATTAGCTAGAAGTAATTTACCTCTGTCTCTGACATCTCTGCCACGATCTCATCTTCTTTAAACACCCGGATGTCAAAATCTTCAGAGCCAACAAGAAGCTAGGAAAAAAAAAAGTTTACCTTAAAAATACTTATTCAAGCTAAGGAAATAAAAAGGACATACTCCAGGACCAAAAGGGCACATAAATATTCCAAGTCCAACAATGAAGAGGTTTTAACAGCTGTATGAAAAGTGAAACAAAAGATATCTTCTGTCAAGACAAGATTTCAAAAGCCTCCCATCGATCAAGTATTAGTTATACCTCTTTTTGTCAATGAGACTCTACAAAAGCATAGTGAAATATCTGGGGTAGGAATGAGAAAAGAGACTTTGGAACATCAGGGCTATGCTGTTAAAGGTTCAGCATTGTAATTCGTAACTGCAACTATACACATCAAAAATACTACATTGCCTGTGCTGGAGCAGGAGACCTGCAGCTCAGTTCTGACTTGTACTACATGGGTTCAGAGAAACAGCAATTCCCAGTTACTAGCCTCGGAGCAAACAGCCAGAAAAAAAAAAAAAATCATTGCTTAGCACTGAACACCTCTCTTTTAAAACAAAACAAAAAAACCCCTCAAACCCAATGAACCCAAGTATCAAACCACCACTGCTCCTCCAGCCTAAATCGTGGCTGCCACTGTTGCAAAGCATAGGTACAGTGGGCTTTAACTTGATGTAAAAGGTTATACAAACAGGACATCAGCACTGAATTGGGTCTTCTGCATTCTCATTCTTTATCCTTTCTTGCATCTTAGTTCTTTTCCCGTTTCCTAGTTGAGCAGATAGAAGGTACTAACTGAAAAGAAGATCCGTGGAAAAGCACCTTCTAAAGACGGTGACAAGTCATGGCTTCTATTTTGCAAATCGAGAAACCAAGGAACAGATCTGCTTAGTGCCTTGCCCATAAAGTCACCCATCAAATCAATGGCAGAATTATAAATGAAAGTTTAAAACCTGGCACTACCTTTCCCCACTGGAACTGGTGAGTCTTCCATCTTTACTTGGCAGAATAGACACAAATCCATATGGAATTTAGGTTTTTAAAAAGATTAAAGGCTTTTTTTCTTCCAAAGATGCTTCAAATGATGACAAACTAAATTGCACCAAGCTAAACTTACTGTAGCTACTGAAATAATTTACAACAAACAACATATGTAAGAGGTACAGATTTCTTGACAAGTTGTAACTACCAGCAAAAAGTGACCAGCTAAAAGCACAGAACCCTGCAAAAATTACTGGTGAAGTTGCATTTCCCAGAGGTGCCTAGATGATGTGTTTTTCATTTAGTTTCATTCAATTCATCCACCTCAGTGACCTTCATTCCACTGGAATTTGAAAAAGCAACAAGAAAGTTTTCCCCCCCAAGTCTTTGGTGAGATGGGAGGAAGTAACCTGTATCAACCTAAAATCCTGAGGAAGACAGTGACTACAACAAATTAGTTTTGTTAGCTGCTAAACAACAGAAGTATATTCATGCAATTTTAAAATCAGTCCATTTTAAATGTAGACGTGTTTTTACCGGGGCGGGAAGAACGGAAATGAAGCTAGCACATCCATTTATCAGATAAGACACAAAGTGATAAACAACAATTTAAACCAACAATTTTAAAAGAGGTTTCTGTGCATTTTCTCAGAACTTCATTTTTAAACCAGAGGCAGTTTCACAAAAGCCACAACTAAGAAGAAAAAAAAACAAGACCTAGATAATTAAAAAGACCTTTACAAAAAAAAAAAATCTCAGCAAATGCATGCTGGGCTAACTGGCAGGGTAAGTTAGTTGGATAACGCATCCAACACTGCTTTGCTCCAAGCAGCATCAGATTACACCAACCGCTGAGAAGGAACCTTTCTCAAGCAGAAAAAAACCCAGCAAAACAACAACAAAACCAACCACACCTGGAAGCACAAGTGCAAAATATTTACAATTAGTGTCATAGATCAGTTTCCTGGTTTCTGAATCTTTATATGCCATCTCCACTTTCTATAACCACCCCTCAGCACATTAAAAAAATACACCCCAAGAGAAGCTGCACAGCAATTGATTGGAAAACATGAATTTTTTTCACTTCCTGAAGATCCCAATCAAGCGAAGGGTCTGCATCGGTTCAGTATTTATAAAAAACACATAAAAAGTGTAGAGGCCCTTTACACATCACTGTAAACATTACATCATCCAAGTAAACATTCCAAGCAAGGGTTTTTGGAGAACTAAATAGAAAACCTTAGAGAATTATGATTAAAACTGAAAGACAGATGACAAAAGTAAGAACTTTTAGCATGGTGATTTAACATGGTATTTACTTGCATCTAACATATACTACAAAGACACTACTTTTCTTAAGGAGGGTGTAGCCAGGTGGGGGTCAGTCTCTTCTCCCAAGTAACAAGGAACAGGACGAGAGGAAATGGCCTCAAGTTGTGTGAGGGGAGGTTTGGATTGGATATGAGGAAAAATTTCTTCACTGAAAGAGCGGTCGAGCATTGGAACACGCTGCCCAGAGAGGTGGTGGAGTCACCATCCCTGGAGGTGTTAAAAAAAACCAAATATGTAGATGTGGCACTTGGGGACATGGTTTAGTAGCCACGGTGGTGTTGGGTTAATGGTTGGACCTGATCTTAGAGGTCTTTTCCAACCTTAATGATTCTATGATTAAAGGTTCATATTTCTAAGCACGATCCTCCAATTCACTCGGGATGGAAGAACATTTACAACAGAGAACATCATACGAATCCACGACTTCATCCATCCCTTGCAGCCTGCACGATCAGAGCGGCAGCTGTTTCCTATTGGTCATCCCTCATTTTATTAACAAGATGCTTGTTACAAGTTATCTTCATTTTAAATCAGAAAAGCAAAGAATATTTCATTTCCCCACATCACTGTGCAGAAACAGGAGGACTGGATGTGAAGAAAGATTTTATCATTTTGCCAATGGTAAGCGAAGCTCTTCACAGCAAAGCATTTTAAGAGCTCGCTTTTACATTTAAGATGCTTGCAGGTTGTTTCTCTGAAATGTAAAATGTAACCACATTCAAGAAATGCCACTGAAATAGTGCAACTGATAATCACAGGCGTTTCTTTGTACTTCTCCTGCTGTAGTTAAAAAAAAAAAAAACCCCGAGAGGTTTTCCACTGAAGCTGGCAACTGATTCACCAAAGCAAGACAGTAATGATGCAGAGAACCCAGATACACCCAGATTTACACGCTCCCACTAGGGCCAGAGACCAGCACTGCTCCCTGTACATGGACCAAGCAATTGCACATGTCTTTGCCGGACGAGAGCCCAAAAAAGGCACAACTTCCACGCAGAGATGACTCTAGCTGGTAATACAAGTCAGTCATATTTGATAACGCATGCATTTTTATTATCGTTTCACTACAAGACCATGAGAAGAGCTGAATTCACATGTAAGTGGTTACAAACCTCAGTTTTGCCATCACCATCAAAGTCACACAGTGCTAAGGAGCGAACGTTGTCTCCGGTAACCTAGAACGAGACAGACAGTCCTCAATACGGATGATAGCTGGCAGAAGCTAAACTATTTTTATGATCTCAACTGCAACAGAACAATTGATGTAGTTGACATTCACGCAACACCCAGGTGCAATGAATACATGAGCAAAATACAGCTTAAGGTCCAAGATAAATTAAGAAAGATCAACAACCAAATTAATATTTATTGGATTAAAAAAAAAAATCAAGAGGAATTAGTGCCATTGAAAGAATCTTGTCATAACATCGAAAGCATTATGCATAGCCTTACTGTCCAAAAAAGGTCGTTTCCTTCATAATCGAAGCCCTGCAGGGCACAGTTTCCACCAATAATAGCAAGTGGCGATGAAATATCTCCCAGCTTTCCAAGAACTATGGCATTGGCTCCATCTGAAACCTACAGAGAAACATTAAAGGAAAAAGAAACAGCAGACAGTGAGCCATTGGAGTACGCAAATCAAAGAGAGAGCTTCCAACATTATCACTCGCAGTTTAGCTGAGCTCTGAATGCTGATTAATATTCTAATTTTGTCTCGCTAAGAGCTGTGTGACACATTACGAAAATTTGCTCTCGCACGTGCGTACACCACACTCACATTTTTCTTTCGAAATATTCCAGATATTTTGAAGGCGAAATGCTCTGAATACAGTAATATAACGAATGCAAAGAACAGAAGTGGACACAGTAACATAAAAACCATCATCTTCAGAATGGAAAGAAAAAGAGAACAATGAAGATACTAAAAAAAAAAAAAGCAGACAGGTTAACTTGCCTCTCTGTAAAACAAATCTGAGTTGTTGTATACATCGTAAGCCAATAAATTAGTTTGTGTTCCCACCAGCAGACAATCGTAACCAAGCTGAGGGTTCAGCACTCCCGAAGTTAGACAAGTGATCCCTTGATTAATGTTGAGAAGAGAAATGTCCGAATCTTGGTTACTTTGCACCATTCGGCTTGTGCTTGTTCTCTGCCCTCGGGCGTGAGGGCTGTGAATAAAAACCTGTAGAAACAAAGATAGAAGTCTTATCACAAAGCAGGCATCTGTTTGTATACAAACATTAAAGACTACTGTTTGGATAATAACTTCGATGGGGAGGAAGGGCACTCACTCAACCCAAAGTGAGAACAAAAGACCTGGGGGTTTTGCTTGCAATATGGCTTCTGATGGTTCTTATTTAAACTACTCCAAGAGAGGGAAATGGCAGGAAACCCCAGCCAGCAGAGCTGTGCCACCACTGGTTTGTGTGTTTCCAAAAACAGCAACTGACATCTTCAGAGTCAGGTGAAAAAAACAAACCAAAGGGAGCAACAATAAACTGGTGAGATCCAGCTGGTAACAGTGCTACCAAAAAACCCCCAAATACTCAGGACAATTTGCCTGGTAACCTCTGTAACCTCCATCTGTAGTTGAATGTGGCTAATTTAAAAAGGGGCCCATGTGATAAATAAGTTTTTATTCTCACTGACCAATATTTGGTCACCATGACTGTCTGGAGGAGAGCCAGGGGATCAAGGGGATATCACGGCTGAACAGCCTCCGCTTCACAGCTGCACAGTCTGCCTCCCTGACAAGTCCTGGTTCTGTGGTGTTCCTAAAGGCTCCAGAATAAACTGAATGATAATGCAGGGAAACGTCACAGATGAACCACGTTGATGTTCACAGCAACCTCCATGAGTTTAGGTTTCGACTCACGTGTTGTTTGTCAGCTGGGTTGTATTTCAGAATCCTAGAATCCCAGGTTGGAATGGACTTCAAGGATCATCTGTCCAACCTTTCTGGGCAAGAGCACAGTCTAGACAAGATGGCCCAGCACCCTGTCCAGCTGAGCCTTAGAAGTGTCCAATGTGGCATAGTCAACCCCTCCCCTGGGGAGATTATTCCAGTGGGTGACTGAACTCACTGTGAAAAATTTCCCTCTTGTGTTCAGTCAGAATCTTCCCAGGATTAACTAACTTTTCCCCATTACCCCTCATCTTTTCCATGTGACTCCTTGTAAAAAGGGAGTCTCCATCTTGTTTGTAGCCACCCTTTAAATACTGGATGACAGTGATGAGATCCCCTCCGAGCCTCCTTTTCTCAAGGCTGAACAGACTCAGCTCTCTCAGCCCTTCCTCACATGGCCAAGAGAGGCTTCCCAGCCCTTGGATCACCTTGGCGGCCCTGCTCTGGACCCCCTCCAGCCTGTCCACATCTTTTTTGTACAGCAGGGACCAGAACTGTATACAGTATTCCAGGTAGGGCCTGACAAGCACTGAGTTGAGTGGGATGATGACTTCTTTTATCTCTGCTGGTGATGCCCTTGTTGATGCAACCCAGCATCCTGTTGGCCTCCTTGGCCGCAGCAGTGCACTGTTTGCTCATATTGAGCTTGTTGTCCACCAGGGCCCCCAGGTCCCTTTCCACAGAGCTGCTCTCCAGCCAGGTGGATCACAAGTTGTGCTGCACTCCTGGATTGTGTTTTCCTAGGTGCAAGACCTTACACTTGTCCATGTTGAACTTCATAAGGTTCTTGTTAGCCCATTCTTCCAGATTATCCAGATCTTCCTGCAGGGTGGCTCTCCTTTCTGGAATGTCTACTTCCCCACTCAATTTGGTATCATCTACAAACTTCTTCAGGCTACACTTGAGCCCATCATCCAGATCACTTATGAAGATATTGAATAGTATTGGGCCCAATATCGAACCCTGTGAGACCCCGCTTGTGACATGTTGCCAGTTAGTAAAAGAGCTATTCCCTCTGGGTGCAGCCGGCCAGCCCATTCCCCACCCACCCCACAGACCACTCGTCCAGGCCATAACACATGAATTTCTCCAGGAGGAGGCCATCAGGAAGCATATCAAAAGCCTTGGAGAAGTCCAGGTAGACAAAACCCACTGCTCACCCCAGGTCAACCTTTTATCAACCTATTTTGTCAACCTGTTTCATAGAATCATAGAATGTTTTGGGTTGGGTCATCCACATCGCTTATGAAGGCATTGAATAACATTGGGCCCAATAACGATCCCTGGGGGACCCCGCTGGTGACGGGTTGCCAGTCAGACAAAGAGCTGTTTACCACCACCCTCTGGGTGCAGCCGGCCAGCCCATTCCCCACCCACCCCACAGACCACTCGTCCAGGCCATAACACATGAATTTCTCCAGGAGGAGGCCATCAGGAAGCATATCAAAAGCCTTGGAGAAGTCCAGGTAGACAAAACCCACTGCTCACCCCAGGTCAACCTTTTATCAACCTATTTTGTCAACCTGTTTCATAGAATCATAGAATGTTTTGGGTTGGAAGGGACCTTCAGAGGCCATCCAGCCCAACCCCCGCACCATGGGCTGGGACATCTTCAACCAGATCAAGTTGCTCAGAGACCCATCCAACCTGGTCTTGAACGTTCCCAGGCACGGAGCCTTCACTGCCTCCCTGGGCAACCTGTGCCAGTGTTTCACCACCATCATTATAAAGAATTTCTTCCTTATATCCAGTCTAAATTTAATCCTCTCTTGCTTGTATCTCAAAACTCAAACAGGCCGCACACAACGCTTCCCGTTCCCGCC